CCATTTACTAATTTGTTGACTTTTGTGTCCATATTCATAAGAGATACTTTTCTGTAGTTTTCTTTTGATATCTTTGTCTGGTTTTGGTATGAGAGTAATACTGGTCTCATAGAATGATTTAGCTAATATTCCTTCCTTTCCCATTTTTGGGGGAAGAGTTTGTGAAGAAGTGGCATTAATTCTTCCTAAAACATTTGTTAGACTTTACTAGTGAAGCCATCTGGGCCTGGACTTTTCCTTGTGGGTGTTTTTTGTTTATTTTTGTTTATTTTTTTAAGTTATGTTTTCTTCACTTACTGTGGGCTGGGCCCATTCAGATGTTATATTTCTTCTTGTATCAGTTTTGAGGGTTTTGTTTTTGTAGGAATTTGTCCATTTAATTTAATACATCCATTTTATCTAACTTATTAGCATACTGTTCATTATATTTCTTCATAGCACTTTTTATTTCTGTAAGATCAGCAGTAATAGCCTCCCATTTCTATTATAATTTGAGTTTGCTGTCTTTTTTCTTGCTCAGTCTGGCAAAATGTTCGTCAGGTTTTTTTTTTAACATATCAAAGAACCATCTTTTGGTCTCTGATTTTTTTGTTGTTGACACTATTACAGATGTCCCCCATTTATTTCCCTTTGACCCCTCCACTCAGCACCCTCAGCCTTAACTGTATTGTTGTCTCTGTCCATGGGTTATGCTTATATGTTCTTTACCTAATCTCTTCCAGTTCCCCCATCCCACTCCCCTCTGAGGTCTGTCAGTCTTTTCCATGTATCCGTGCATCTGGTTTTATTTTGTTTATCACTTTATTTTGTTCATTAGCTTCCCCATATGAGTGAGCTCTTATGGTACTTGTCTTTCTCTGACTGGGTTATTTCACTTAGCATAATGCTCTCCAGGTCCCTCCATGCTGTCACAAAAGGTAAGATTTCCTTCATTTTTTACAGCCTTGTAGTTTTCCATCGTGTCAATATATCACAGCTTTTTTATCCACTTATCTACTAGCGGGCACTTGGGCTGTTTGTTTCCAGACCTTGGCTGTGGTAATCATTGCTGCTGTGAACATAGGGTGCATATATTTCTTCTAGTTAGTGTGTTGGGATTCTTAGGATATATTCCCAGAAGTGGGATTGCTGGGCCAAAGGAAGCTCCCTTTTTTAATTTGTTAAGGTATCTTCATACAGCTTTTCATAGTGGCTGCACCAGTCTGCATTCCCACCAGCGGTGCTGTAGAGCCCTTTTCTCCACATTCCTGCCAGCACTTGTTTGTTGATTTCTTGATGGTAGCCATTATGGCAGCTATGAAGTGATGTCACATTGTGGCTTTAATTTGCATCTCTCTGATAATTAGTGATGTTGAGCATCTTTTCCTGTGTCTATTGGCCATTTATATATCCTTTTTTGAGAAGTGTCTATTCATGTCCTTTGACCATTTTTTAATTGGATTGTTTGTCTTCCTGGTACTGAATTAAGTTCTTGATGTATTTTGGAAATTAACCTTTTATCAGATGTATCATTGGCAAATAATGTTCTCCCGTACAGTGGGTGCCCTTTTCATTCTGTTAATGATTTCTTTTGCTCTACAAAAGCTTTTTGGTTTAATGTAGTCCTGTTTTATTTTTTCCTTTATTTCCCTTGCCCTAAGACATGTATTGGTAAAAATACTGCTATGAGAGATGTCTGAGATTTTACTGCCTGTTTCCTTCTAGGATTTTTATGGGTTTGCCAGTTACATTTAAGTCTTTTATTCATTTTTATTTTATCCTTGTGTATAGTATAAGTTGGTAGTCTAGTTTCATTTTTTTTTCGTATGTACCTACGTAATTTTCCCAACGTTTATTGAAGAGACTGTCTTTGCTCAATTATATGCTCTTGCCTCCCTTGTCAAATATTAATTGACCATAAAGGTGTGGGTTGATTTCTGGGCATTCATTCTGTTCCATTGATCTATCACCTGTTCTTATGCCAGTACCAGGCTACTTTGATTACAGTGACCTTGTGGTATAGTTTGATATCAGATATTGTGACATCTGATATTGTGGCTCCCTTGTCAGTAGCTTTTTTTCTCTTGCTGGTTTGAAATTCTTTGTCCTTAACCTTTGCCATTTTAATTATGATGTATCTTGGTGTGGGTCTTTTTGGGTTCATCCTCTTTGGGACTGTATGCACTTCCTAGACTTGTGTGTCTTTCTTTCACAGGGTTAGCGAAGTTTTCAGTTATTACTTAAGTCATGTAGGTTCTCGATCTCTTGCTCTCTCTCTCCTTCTTGTTACCCCTATGATGTGGATGTTGTTACACTTAATGTCCCAAAGCTCTCTTAAATGGTCCTCATTTTTTCAGTTTTTTCTTTTTGTTGTTCTTAATTGTGTTTTCTCCTACTTTGTCTTTCCGATTGCATATTCAGTCCTCTGCTTCTGCTAGCCTATTGTTTATTCCTTCTAGTGTATGCTTCATTTCAGATATTATATCCTTCATTTCCGACTGGTTCTTTTTTATGATTTCTGTATCCTTTTCTGTATCTCTTTGTTGAAGTTCTCACTGGTTTTCTGAGCACCCTTATAATTGGTTTTTTTTTGAGCTCGGTATCTGATTTCATTTCATTTAGCCCTCCATTTTATTTAGCCCTTATTCTAGAGATTTCTCCTGTTCTTTCATTTAGGGCATGTTTGTCTCCAAATTTTGGCTGCCTGTTTGTGTTTGTTTCTATGTGTTAGGTAGACCTGCAATGACTCCCAGTCTTGGTACAGTGGCCTTATGTAGTAAGTATCCTGTGGGACCCAGTAGCATAGTCTCCTCAATTCTCTGATCTGGGTGCTCCAGGAATGTCCCTTGTGTGTGTTATGTGGGCCCTCCTGTTGTAATTGAATCTTGATTGCTGTTGGCCCATTTTTGTGTAGGGTAGACCTGTAGACTGGCTGACTTTGAGGATTGATTGACCTTGACCACAGTGTATGAGCTGCTGTGCAGGTGCTGACCACATGAAGTGAAATTCACCTCAGCAGGGTCTGATGCCTGCCGAAATCTTCCTTGAGCTATGACTCTTATGAAGCTAATTTGATCCTGCTCTGATGTTGTCTAAAGCTGGCCACTGTGTGTGTTGCTTCTGGGGACTCTTGGGAATGATTCTGGTGCAAGTCAATGCCAGACAATCTCTTTGGAGTTACAGATCCATATTTTGTGGCTGCCTCTTCTGGGCCTGTGTGTGCATTGGAAGGACCGAGCTACACACCAAAGATGGCATTTACTAGCACCGGCCCCAGGGACAGGTCAGCAAATGGCCCGATGTGCTCTAAGATCTGCCTCTGCCTATTAGGCTCAGCCACTGAAATAGCCTCTAGCAGTACTTATGTTGCATGAGGTGGGCTCCTATGATTCACCAGGTAAGGACAAGTGGTGTTCACCAGAGTGATATAGGTTCAAACTCAGTGCCAGTGCTGGGTCTCTGATGACTCCCACCAAGTTCCTGCAGACCTTTGTGGTAGGGAGGGGTCTTAGGGAGTCATCAGAGTGAGTCCAGCAGAGTTTATCAGGCCCAAACAGACCAAAGTTTGGCCGGTACTAAAATTTCTTGTATGTATATCTTGAGTATTAGTATGTCAAAAGAATAAATTATAAAAGTATATTTTTTGAGTGTAGATTACATTACAGTTTGATAACTACTATAGATTTACTTACCCAGTTTATAAACAGTTTAAAAGTGCTTACATATGCAGAGTATTGATCATCTTTCAAAATCTTTGTCAGTTTAAAAAGTTTTTAAACATGAATCTTGTTTACTTAGCAGGGTTGGACATCTTTTTGTGATTATTGACAACTTTTATTTAAATTGTGATTTTTTAATGTACTTTGCCCATTTCTCTCTTGCGTTCTTTTTGTTAATCTTTTGAAGATCCTCTGTATATTCTATGTATTCTAACATATTTATAATTGTGTACTAAGTTGTCTCATTCACAATATACTTTTTATCAGTTTATTTTGTATTTTGTTTGTATGTAATTTACACAATTTTTAAATTTTTGTTCTTAGGACATACTTTTCTATACCAAGATTATATAGCTGTTCCCTATGTTTTCTTGTAATAATTTTATGGTTTTTATTTATTTACAATGAATGTTATTTTATTTTGGTATAAGGAGGTATTGAAGTCTATGTTATCTTTCCTTTTATCTGTTCACTAAAGCTCCTAGTCTTAAGAATCATCTCTCTAGTTGAGGGCATATTTCTGCTATAGCTTAGTGTAATTAAAAAGTATAATTGGGGCTTCTAGTCAAGAAGGGGGGGGTGGGTAAACATGGCTCACCTCCTTGCACAACCACAGCAAAAATTACAAATAAACTACAAAACAACTATCACCCAGAATCACCAAAAAATCGATCTGTATGGAAGTTCAACAACCAAGGAATTAAAGAAGTTACATTCATCTAAATGGGTAGGAGGGGTGGAGACATGGAATGGGCAGTCTTACGCCCACGTGTGGTAGATAAAAACCTGGAGGGTTACCTCAGAAGAAGTGAGGGTGCCGGCTCCACACCAGACCACCCAGCCTAGGGTTCCAGTGTCAGGAAGTTGAGTTTCCCTAACTTTTGGCTATAAAAACAAGTAGGGGTTGGGGTGGCAGGAGAAACTGCAGGTTTCTCAGGAGTTTCCTGTTAAAGGGCCCATAATGGACTTAAGGGTTAGGCAGACTCACTTCCTCTGGGCTCCAGCATTGGAACAGCACCTAGAAGGTCACCTGTGGCATACAGGGAGAAACTGGAGTATCTGGCATCAGGGCAGGGACCTGCAATTTAGATGACTCTATCCAGCAAAGCTGTTATTTAGAATTGAAGGGCAGATAGAGTGCTTCCTAGACAGGGTAATACTAAAGGAGTTCGTCATCAAGTCGTCATTATATGAAGTATTAAAGGGACTTACCTAAAACAAAGAAGATGATCAGAACTATGAACATTAAAATGGCAGCAAATTCATTACTATCAACAATTGAATCTAAAAAACAAACTAAGCATACTTACCTGGCAGGGCAGATACCATGATCATAAAGGTGGTTTTCCCAGGGCGAAGCTTATCCATTATACTCCCATGGGCCGACCCCTGCGATTTCCCCAAATATGGGAAACTCAGTGGCATAATTGGTAGTGGAGGACTGCATTTGCACTCTCCTCTAAAAAACTGAAAGTAAATAAAAAACTAAGCAAACAAGCAGAACAGAACAGAATCATAGATGAGGAGATCATTTGGAGGGTTGTCAGTTGGCAAGAGTAAGAAAGAGAAAGGGGGAGAGGTACAGGGATTAAGAAATACAAATAGGTAGTTACAGAATAGACAAGGGGGTGTGTTAAGAACAGTACAGGAAATGGAGTAGCTGAAGGAAGAACTTACATGCATGACCCATGGACATGAAGTAAGGGTAGGGATTGCCAGAGGGAATGGGGGTGCCAGGTAGAGGGGGGCAAAGGGGTAAAAATTGAGATCACTGTAATACATAATCAATAAAATATATTTTTAAATATGACAGTTACAGAATTTAGAAATTTTCAACAATGGATCTTTTACTATATTGTGAAAAAGAACCTCATGTTACTTCCCAGTAATATGATTAAATTTACATATGTCATAAATCTCAGAAGGAATTTCTCATCATTAATTTGTTTTAATAAAGATACTTTTATGGTATGACTTAGCTCTGAGTCCTCTCTGAACATTCTGCTTGCTAAATACACACTTTTATAAGTTCCTTTGTTATTACGATTCCATAAAGTTAATGAAATTTTAGAAATACATTTTTATAAATTATAAAAGAAAAATGTTGTTGTATTTTCCAGGTTTTATTTACATATTATTTACGGAAATACTTTACTGTGCAGCAGGGGTAGTAGTTTGCTTTTGGCTCCTGGGAAGGATTTTGTGGAAACTTTTTGATCTCTTCTTCCTTAGTTCCTCACCTCATTGCTTTTTCCTTTCTGTTTTTTGTTCTCTAGTGGTAGAGGGAGATAAAGCAAGGTAACAGTAGGTAGAAGGAGACAGTTTTGCTTATTAATACATAGATACTATTGAATACCTGAATATAGGAAATTAATATGAAAATATCTGGTGTGTGAGTAACATGTTTTTATTCCTATTTAATTTTTCTATTTCTTAGTATTTGACAATGCACATTTTTTATGGCAAATACTTTCTTTGGTAAGGTCTTAAGGACCAATTTCATGTTCCATCATTTATAATTTATTCATTTGTTACTCTTTTGCTCTCCTTGCTTCTTTTGCTGAGAACATAGTTTAATCATCATTGGGTTATTCGATGAACTTTAAATTAAAAAACTTTTGATAGGGTTGTCTGTAGAAATACTTTTTCTTCCTATCTTTGCTTATTTTCTTTTTATTTCCACAGAAAGGACATGCTGTCTGAATAACTGTACAGTGGCCAAAAGAATCGGAAAAGGAAAAGATGCTACTATCATCTTTGAGCATTTCAGAAAACCTGTAGATCCATTAGTTCAGGAAAATTGTTCATGCAGTTCACTAAGTTCAGACATAAATTCTTCCAACTCAAATATTTCTAACTCCTGTGAAAATGTGCAAAATGGAAACATTTCTATAGTTGACACACACAGCGGACAGATGAAGCACAATTTAACACAATGTAGAGACACTTCTCAAGTACAAGCAGATGATTCAGGTCTTTCATTTATTTCCAGTGATGCCAAAGAAAATGTTAATGGTGACTTGTTAAATTTGACACATCTTAAAAATGTTTTAAGTGGTCTTCCTGCTACTTTTCCCTTTCATAACAATTTTGGCTCAAGCACAGTTATTACTTCAAAATTCATCAAAGACCCAAGACTTATGAGGAGAGAAGAAAGTGTGGAAAAACATAATAATATGACAGGTTTAAATAACATTTTGCCATTTAAAAAGAATTCAGATTTCGTTAATTCAGGAATTAACCTCACTATGCCAACTGATTCTGCCTCCTCATCTAAAGTCATGCCTGGTGATGATGCTATTCTTACTAATTGTATGGATGCACCTTGCTTCAAAATTTCTTTCGATGATTCACAAGCTCAGACTCACAACATGGGCTCTCAGGACTGTAGTTATTATACAACTCCCCCCAAAATTACTATGGCAGAACAGTGCCAGGACCAAGACAATTTTTCCTTCCCTATGTGTTTGTTAAATGGAGTTCCAGAAGTTAAGAACCAGAAACACAGTGCAGAAAAAGCCCAGAGATCTCAACAGAGAAGTAACATCCCACTTTTAATTGAACGAAATAGTGAGCCACATAACTCCTGTGAATCAGTGAATACTTATACAAAAGGGTATGACAATCACATTTCTCAGGAATCACAGTCTTCTACTTTAAAAACTACATGTCAGACTAATCACCAGATGTCTGCAGTTTTTCAGTTCCAAAAGGAAAAAAGTATACATGAGTACATTCAAAACATTGGAAAAGTGAGAAACTTCACTGGCCTAGAAGATGGTTCCAAACACATAGCAAAGCAAAATTTATGGAAAAAGATTGATAATTATCATACTAATGAAACAAAAATTAGTCCAACAGATAATAGCATTTCTTTGCACCAAGAATACGAAGAGGATGAGAGTCTTAATTATTTGGGGGGAAAATGTGATCAAAGATTAATCCCTCAGGAGTTAGAAATACCAAAATCTTCTACATCTACCACAAATTATAAGTATGAGCTAGATTGTCTAGCATTGGAACTACAAAATAATCTTACTCCAAGAGTGGAGAGCCTTTCACAAAAGCATCCTCAACACTGTTTGGAGAATGAAGATGACATTCATAGCAATTTTGCCATTTCTCAAAAACTAGTGGAACTGAAATTGGAAAGAACAAATCAAAACTGTGTTAGCATTATAACTGATGCTTTCCAAGAAGCAAAGGACATTTCCCATGTCAAAAACCTACCAATGGATGTAGTTATTTCATCTCATGACATTAAAACAGCTCATGACAATTCAAATTGCAGCATAGCAAGAGAACATACATCTATCAATAGAAAAAATAAAAATGATGCAATGTTATTAGAAAGGATTCAGAGAGACTTTGGAACTTCTCAAGTTGACAATAAAGGTCAAGGCCATCCTCTGTTCTGTAATGCACAGTTGAATAATGACATGCACCTCACTGTTAATTTCAGAGAACAAAGAGATGATAGAGAAAACCAAAATGAGGTTAAAGGGAAAGACATTGCTTCATCTACAGAAAACAACATAGAAAATATATGTGGCAGTGAGGGGCAGGGTTTTCATACAAACAAAAGTTTTATTACAGATGAAAGATGGGAGAATAACAATTACAATAATGTAGAAATTCTGAGCTCTGAAGAATTTACTACATTTAATTTGCCTCCAGGGAAAAAATCTGTATCAGCAGAAACTACATTATTAGAAACTGAAGATACTCTCACTGCCATAAAACAAAAAGATACACAAAATACTGTAAGGAGTGTAAAGCATGCCAATGGTTGCAAAATCTCAGGTTCTTTGGAGCATGTGGCGTCAAATGCTGTGTTACAGATAAATAGTACTGTGGTGCCCACACTAGAAACAGATGGAGATCACCAAAGACACAAGTTAAAACAAACTTCTTATTCTGAGAGTCCAGATTTGGGGTTGGTAAAACATAAGGTCTCTGATTATGAAATTCATATGGATAAAAATAAATTATATAACTCATTTCAAAAGTCAAGTGATAATGTAGTTCTTCAAAGTATTGAATTGGAAAGTGAGATCGAAGTAGTAGCAGAAGAGTGTGATGATGTTTTTCCACCTCAACAAGATACTCATAGCCCTGGAAATACACTGTATGAAGAGTTTGGGTCAATATATGAGGAATTGAAATATCGTATTGATTGGAAAAGTCTTCTAGGAAGCAGTAATGGGGAGAAGGAAGTTTTGACAAGCACCGCAAGGGAGCATAGTGATCAGCATTACTCTGATTATGCCTCTACACAAAAAAACAAAGCAGAGCTCTTCAACCCAATTTTACTTCCAGATCTACAAATCAGAATTACTAATACACTTATGCCAGGAATCAGTTCCACTGTTAAGTCCTTTTCATTGAAAGATAATATTTGTGAATATATAACTGAAGCCACAAAACCAGAAATAAATGAAGAGGTGGGGAAAGTTCCAGGATTTGAAATTTACTCCCAGTGTTGTGGAAATTCACGTTACTCATTTGAAGATGAATTTGGTAATATAAAGCAAGAATCAGGAATGGTCAGTGAATCTGAAATCTCACTTTCTATTGACTTTACTGATAATACACACATGAATCACATGTCTAAAGAACAAAGCAGTGGACCTTTGCTTACTGAACCTTCAAGTGTCACAATAAATAATGAAAGCAGATGTTCCCTTACAAACTCAAAAACTGTTTGCAATGATATGAGAAGTAAAAAAGACACGGAATCAAGAATTAGCAAAAGAAAGCTGCATACACCTTTTAGGGACCAGAGCCTACCACATCATGAAATTTGTGAAAAGAAGAGGAGGCTAACCGATCAAGACCCATCCGAGTGTTTTTCTTCATTATCTGAAGGACGAATTAAAACCTTCTCACAGTCAGAAAAGCACATTCGAAGTGTCCTGGACATTCTAAATAGTGAAGTATCTTTATGCAAAAGTAAATGTCTTTCCAAAAAACTCGACAGGGCTCTTCTTTACTTGAAAAAAGCTCACAGAAGAGTTAACACATCTTTGGAACTTATAGCTAAAGTGGGAGAAACAAGAAAGGGCCCATTACCGAAATCATACGAAATAATATGCAACAATTTCTGGGAAATTTGTGACCTTCAAGGTTATGGTTCTGTTTCTGAAAGAAGATATTATTCCACTAAGCATTTTTTTCCAAAAAGAAAATATGACAAACCAGGAGAGAAAAGAGCTTTGGGATTTGAAGTTAATAAATCATTAACTCCTGTATCAAAGTACCAGTTTGATAGAACAAGTGAAGAGAGAACCACAAAGTGCTTTTCTAAGAAAAATGTGCCCAACAGTGTCTCCAGGAGTCATAGCACCCTTCACATGGGAGAATTTTGTGATCAAGAATGTCCTGAATCACAGTTAACTCTGGGCTCCACATCCCAAAGTACAAGTCAGTCAACTTATAACAATATCTATATGGAAAATCC